CCCGGCGGGGGGGGGGGGGCGCCTTGCGGGGCCCCATGACAGTGACCGAACTGGTCCGACTGGTTAAGGGAAGGGACGGAACAAAGGAAGGGAGCGTTGGGGCAGGGGCAGTTTTGGGCTGGAACCATGAAGGGGACAGACTAAGGAGGGGGCTGGAATCTAGGGATCCAGGGACCCCCATCTCCAGGGGGCTGAGGCGTCCTGGCCCTGACTCCTGTAGCCACATCACGTCTGTGCTGGGCTGTGCCCTGGGGGAGCATTAAACCCCCTGTTCTACCGGCTGGTGGAATCTGTTCTTGCTTTTATGGGGGTGCAGGATCGGGGAACCCTGACTCGCGGTCACAATGGTGTCAGGAGTGGGATACACTGCATCCGTGGCTGGAGCTTCCAGCAGCAAGTGACTGGGCGCAGTAGAAGGAAGGGGCTTGCAAGAGCCAGACGTGCTGGAGACAGAGCAAAGCGATTCCTGGGAATCGGGGGACGCTGCAGCCCGGGGCGGCCAGATGCTCTGAGACGCTCGTGTCGGCCCAATGGAAAGACGTGGGGGACGTGGACGGTTCCTCAGCTCCTTTGAGCGGGTCTGTGAACTGCACCATCCCCCAGCTGACCGGCTGCAACAGGCCACGCCCGTGCTGGATCAGGAGGCCACAGGGTGCTCAACCAGCTGGAGGCTCTGCAGCCGGGTGATTACGAACGGCTCAAAGAGGCCCTGCTGCTCAAGTTCAGGCTGACCCCCGAAATGTACAGGAGGAAGTTCCGGGGGCTGCAGAAGGAGCCAAGGGAGACCCATGTGGATCTGGCCTCCCGCCTGGCGCAATCCTGCCGCAAGTGGGTGTGCGGGTCGGAGCCCAGACCACAGAGGACCTGCGCAAGCCGATGATGCCGGAGCAGTTCTGTGAAGCCTGCCCGCCCAGCCTGAGGCTGTAGCTCAAGGACAGGCAGCCAGAGGACCCCCAGGAGGCCGGGAAGCTGGCGGACGAGTTCAGAGAGATGGTCCGGGGGTGAACGGGAGACCTGGAGTGAAAGGGAATCCCGGAGAGAAAGGGAATCGCGCAGAGACTGGTTCTGGGCCGAGCAACGGAGAAAATCACCCATGAAGTGAGCCCAAGAGACAAGGACCAGCCAGGGCCCGGGTGGAGCCGGCCTGAAGGGACCCGCAGGAACTAACCTGCCATCGCTGTTGGCAAAGAAGCCACAAGAGGGCTCAGTGCACCAGGAAACAGGACTGGTCCCAGGACCGGGACTTGCCAGGGTTAACTGGCTGGGGCTGGGGGAAGGGCAGGCCGCCCCAGAGGAGGGGCCAGCAGGCAAACCTCAGCTCAAAGCGGGGGGAAGGCGGCTCAGGCCGACCCCCCCCAGAGAACCGACGCTCCAGAGACAGGTCTCTCCGTGTACCGGGTGGGGGCAGGGCAGCCCCTGCGGAGCGAGAGCCTCGGGCCCCAGGAGGTGGGTGGCAGGGAGGTGGCGGGTTTCTGGGATATGGGGGGAGGTGACGCCAGCCCAGCTCGAGTTAGTGGCCCCAGACCACATGGTGCCCAACACCCAGCTGACCCCGAGGGGCATAGGTGGGACCCCGTTTAAGGTGCCCGTAGCCCGGGTGCATCTGAAATGGGGGCCAAGGAGGCCCCAAGGAAGTGGGGGGGTCACCGGCACTTGCCCACGGAGGTGCTGATGGGGGGGGACCTAGAGGAGGGGCCAGACGGACCCCACAGAACCCTGGTCACCACCAGAGCCAGCGAGGGGCTGGCTACCCCGACCCAGGGGATGGCTCCCTGCAGGGAGCTCGGGGCTCTTTCCTAGCAGACACGGAGCCCAGCCAGGCTGCAACTGGGGGGGGGCAGACAGGTCCCTGTCCCTGCTCCAGCTGCTGAATTCCAGGCTGTGGTGCAGACGGATCCCTCCTTGCAGACCCTGAGGGACCGGGCCGGCCTGGGCGCAGCTCAACCCCTAGCGGGAGATTGCCAGGAGAGGTTGCTGTGGGAGAGGGGACTCCTGTACCGGGAATGGCTCCCCCAAGGAAGGTGGGGGGATGGGGGCTCCAGTGACAGCTGGTAGTTCCCCAAAAGTATTGCCGCAAAGTATACCTGGCCCATGACTTCCCCTTCTCGGGACACCGGGGGATCCGGAGCACCCGGCTGAGGCTGCTCCAAAACTTCTACTGGCCGGGGATGTTTGCAGCCGTGCAGTGGTTCTGCTGGGCCTGCGAGTGGGGAAGGCCCAAGACAGGAGCAAAGCTGCTTTGAGGCCCCTACCGATTAGAGAGGAGCCTTTTCAGACGGTGGCGAAGGACATTGTGGGACCCTTCAGCAAAGCGACCCGCACGGGGAAGAAATACATCCTGGTGGTGGTGGACTTTGCCACCCGCTACCCCGAGGACGTAGCTCTGCCCTCTAGCCAGGCAGACACGGTGGCAGACACGCTGCTGACCACTTCCAGCAGGGTGCGGTTCCCCCAGGAAGTCCTTACGGACCAAGGATCCAACTTCATGTCGGCCCCGCTCCGGTGCTTGTGGGGAAGTGCGGGGTCCAGCACCCCTGGGCCTTAGCGTATCACCCCCAGACCAACGGGCTGGTGGGGAGGATCAATGGGACTCGGAAGCAGA